TCAATTGGGGCAAGCTGGAGATGTTGGCTGCGAGGTGTGAAGGGGACATCTCTAAGCCCGACGGTGGTCTCATCCCCCGCAAGGAGCACCTGGTCTACTTGGGCAGCGTGCTCTCGGCAGACGGTTCAGCCGGGCCGGAGCTCAATCGACGGCTGGGCCAGGCGAAGGCAGAATTCGAAGCATTGTGGCGGGTGTGGTCCCGTTCCACGGTGTCGACCCGGAGGAAACTGATGATCTTCGAAGCGTGTGTGCAGACGAAGCTGCTTTACAGCCTCCACACCACCTGGCTGAAGAAGCAGGAGCTGGCCAAGGTGGACGCGTTCCACGTGAGGTGCCTCCGGCGCATTCTTGGCATTGGCCACTCGTACTGGAGCAGGGTGACCAACGCCAGCGTGCTGCAGCTGGCGGGGCGGATGAAGCTGAGCAGTGTCTTACTCCAGAGGCAACTGTGTTTGTTTGGACAGATAGCAAGATGCGCGGGAGGGCACCCTCTCCGAGACGCTATTTTTGACCCTCCGCCCCCCTCCCCCTCCCCCTCCTCCCCTTCCCCCTCCCCTCGCCCCTCTCCCCCGTGCATACTAAAACAGCCGCCCGTCGCTAGGAAGAGAGGTCGTCCTAGGCAGACGTGGGCCGGAGAAGTCGGCAGGCACGCCGTGCCGTCTGCGACGATTGCGGTTTTCCCAAAGAGAATATAGATGTTATCCCAGCAGACAGCTGGAAGACAGCTGTGCGGAGGTATTGCGCGCCACGCTAGCTTGTCTCAACTGCTCATGTGCTTGTCAGAATATAGATGTTATCCCAGCAGCACAGCTGGAAGACAGCTGTGCGGAGGTATTGCGCGCCACGCTAGCTTGTCTCAACTGCTCATGTGCTTGTCACGAGGCTTCGCAACAACGCGGGTGCAGACTGTGCTGGGCAGGCCTCGAAAGTGGCGACAGTTTCACAGATCGCAGCCCCCCAGGGATGGCGAGGTCTAATTTGAATCCGCCGCGGGTGCAGACTGTGCTGGGCCCCGCCAGCAGGCCTCGAAAGTGGCGACAGTTTCGCAGATCGCAGCCCCCCAGGGATGGCGAGGTTCCATTTGAGTCCGCCGTGGGTACCCACTGTGCTGGGCCCCATAGCAACCCTCGAAAGTGGCGATAGTTTCACAGATCGCAGCCCCCCAGACATGGCGATGTCTAATCTGAGTCCCCGTAAGACGTCGCTCCGCTGCCCCCCCCAGCAGCCCTCGAAAGTGGCGACCGTTTTACGGATCGCAGCCCCCCAGCGATGGCGAGGTCTAATCTGAGTCCCCGTAAGACGTCACTGTGCTGGGCCCCCCAGCAGCCCTCGAAAGTGGCGACAGTTTCACAGATCGCAGCCCCCCAGGGATGGCGAGGTCTAATCTGAGTCCCCGTAAGACGTCACTGTGCTGGGCCCCCCAGCAGCCTCGAAAGTGGCGACAGTTTCACAGATCGCAGCCCCCCAGGGATGGCGAGGTCTAATTGAGTCCCCGTAAGACGTCACTGTGCTGGGCCCCTCAGCAGCCCTCGAAAGTGGCGACAGTTTCACAGATCGCAGCCCCACAGCGATGGCGAGGTCTAATCTGAGTCCCCGTAAGACGTCACTGTGCTGGGCCCCCCAGCAGCCCTCGAAAGTGGCGACAGTTTCACAGATCGCAGCCCCCCAGGGATGGCGAGGTCTACTCTGAGTCCCCGTAAGACGTCACTGTGCTGGGCCCCCCAGCAGCCCTCGAAAGTGGCGACAGTTTCACGGATCGCAGCCCCCCAGCGATGGCGAGGTCTAATCTGAGTCCCCGTAAGACGTCACTGTGCTGGGCCCCCCAGCAGCCCTCGAAAGTGGCGACAGTTTCACAGATCGGGAGAAGGGAGGAGGGGGACGGGAAGGAGGAGGAGGAGGGATGACGCGACCGCAGTGCTCTATTCAAAACGATTACCCAACGCAGGAGGGTTGGGAAAAATAACGTTCACGCCGAACTGAAGGCACTGAACTCCTTGTCAAGCGAAGCCCGGCGCCGTAGGCCAAGACGAACGCCCAGACTGCCGGAAGGCCGCTGATGAACATGCAGAAGAAGAACTCCGCCAAGGACAGGAAAACTATAGAGAGAGAGAGAGAGACGTTCGTCGTGGACTGCTGCACAGAGACTCAAGCGACGGGCGACTTACAGAAGACGCAGGGCCTGGGGTGCCAACGCTCTAGAGGAAGTGCGTGCCAAGGCCACCAGCTCCACGTCGAAATCGCCGGCCGGGGAAAGGATTACCCACCTAGCCCGCGGACGCCAGCATGATGTATGTGAGGTCAAGGACCTTCTAGCAGCCAGAAAAGGAAGAAAGTGGCAGTGAAAAGGAAGTCGTCGCCTCGCCAGCTGCCGAGAATGGCGGTACAGGGATGTAGACAAAACGGGAACATGCAGGCGAATTCCGTGCACACTTTCGCGCCCTCAATGGAGCGTCGTGATGAGGGTAATGCTGTATTGAACGTGCCCTAGCAGGGCTGGCCCTCCGATGGCCCGTGTCGTGTGACGTACTTTGTGACGCACTTTTCCATTGGTCGTAGCCCCGAGCAGGTAAACCATGCTGTAATGAGCTCTGTCGTGCCGCGGGAGCGGCGCCGCTGTCGCGGCTCTGCAGTACTTGTATCATCTCAGCACAAAGAATCTGGGCCTGAGGCCCCAGGGTGCTTCCCCCGCGCCGGTCACGCAAAATGCGTCCGAGGTCCGTGGAACCGAAGGTGCTGTCCACGGACGACGTCCCCCGCGGGGGTATCGCGGAGTTAGCGTTCTAACGCGCCCAAGATGGCTTCCGGATGGCCCGCAGTCCCAAAATGGCCCCAAGAAGCCAAAATCATTGATTTTCCCTTTCTGGGATTTTGGTACATTTTCGCGCTTCAGCCGTTTGGCATCCCGACGCTCCAAGACGGCCCAAGAGGTTCCTAAGACCGCTCCAAGATAGCCAAAGAGGCTTGCCTCCAGGAGGGCCCCAAGAGGGCCCACGAGGCCCCAAGACGGTGCCTGAGGCGCCCAAGACGGCCCGAGAGGGCCCAAAGACGGTCCCAACAGCAGAGTCTTCCGCCCTAAAAGGCCCAGAGAAGGCCCCAAGAGTCCCCAAGTGGTCCGACGAGGCCCTCATAAGCCTCCCAAGTGGCCCCAAAAGGCCCCAAGGAGACGTACAAGGGGCCCCAAGATTGCCCAACAACGCCCTCGATGCATCAAAACTGTTTGCAGGAGGCCCCCAGGAGGCTTCCAGTTCCTCAGTGTGGCCCCAAACGCCTTCAAGTCGGGCCTCCACGCAGCCAAGACGGTCAATGACTGCTTCAGATTGCAGAACATCACCTTCCAAGACGTGCCTCCAACAGCTAATTGAGGAATCACGGAGAACCCCCCAGAAGCCCTTCAGATGCTCCCACGAGGCCATCAGGAGGCACGACTATGTCACGCGCCTGTGCTTGATCGTTGCCCAAGCTCGTCCAGCGCCCCCCCGGCCTGGGCTAGAACTTGAGCGCGCGCGAAGCGTGCGCGATGGTTCTAGTAAAGATATAGCATGGTGACCGTGATCCGTGCTCTTTAGACTATTTCGGTGTATGCGTTGACTAATTCTCACTTCTCCTCCAAAGCCCACCTGTAATAGGGACGTGCCTGACTTGAGGGTAACCCTCGGAGGGCCGGCGGGCCCGCCGCGGGCGCGGCGGCCCCCCGAGCAGGGATGCGGAGGAAGAGGGGGGAGACCCGTACAAGCCCAAGACGCATCCACGATGCGCGTCGGGGCAGCCCTAAGCCGGGCGAAGACACCATTCCTGGGACTCCAAACATGTGAACCTTGCCACTGGTGTATTGCGGTAGGACGAGTGTGCGCGGCTCCAAAGCGAGAGGCTCATTGTGAAAACGGATTGTCCTCCATCCTTGAAGCTGATGCAAACGCAAGCTTCAGGGTCAGACTTGGTGAGTATGTCTACAGAAAGCGAGTGACCCTCCCTGCCAACACGTCTGGGGGTGATAAAGCGACCTTAAAATGGGGAGAGTGGACGAGAGGAAGGAGGAAGCAGAAGATCGGAGGCATGTGGGGCGAATCTCTGGACCGTCCAGCCCCACATTCCCGTCTCGCCCTCCTGGCGGGGCAGCAGAGGAGGCCCCCTTCAGCGGATCCTTCACGAGGAAGGCTTGGCGAGAGGAGGGGTGTCCACGAAGCCCCGTTCAGAGCCCTGGCATCGCTCGGACGTGTGCGTTTTTTCCTCGGCGAGGACCATCGAGGAGCATCCTTGATCATTTGGCGAAAAAACCACGCACGAAACCGAAAAAAACCCAGGGAATGGACGTCCGAGCGATGGCCAGGAGCGCGCCGTGCCCATTCTGCGACCGCCCGCCGTCGTCAGTGGTGCCCCTCCCGCGGAGCTCCGGCGCCCGCGGCGCCTCCGAGCGCCCGCGGCGCGGCGCGAGCAGGAGGGAGCAGCTCCGGAGGCAGCGCCTGGCCGCCCAGCCGTGGCAGCTCTTTTGGTCGAGGGCTCGCTGCCGCCGTTGAGCAGTGTCTGCGTGTCGCCTGCGCTCCGTGATTGGTCGAGGGCTCGTTTCCTTCGTTGAGCAGTGTCTGCGTGTCGCCTGCGCTCCGCGATGGCCCGTCGTCCCAGGTGGACAGGCCCCAGTGCTGCCTCTTCCTGCCCGTCCTGTGTCCCCCTCCCGTCCTCTATACCCCCGTCCTCCGCCCCCCGCCCTTCCCCGACACTGCTGTCACCTCCCGATCCCCCATGCGAGCCCTTCCATCCCGTCCCTTCCTCGTCTGCACCCACCCTCCGCTCCGTTTCCGCCCCCTCCCTCACCCCGTCCCCTCCCCTCCCTCGACCCTCTCCTTTCCATTCATCCCTCTCCCCATCCATGTCCGTCCGCACCCATCTCTTCTTCCCTTTCCTCCCGAGGAGAACACATAGGAGGAGGAGGAGGAGGAGGAGGAGGAGGAGGAGGAGGAGGAGGAGGAGGAGGAGGAGGAGAAGGAGCGGCGCTGCGCCGCGAGTTCCAGAAGAAGCCGCCGGGCACGCCGGAGTACAGCAGGAGACTGGGGCTGCTGTACGGCGCCTTCTTTGGCCTGCGCGTGCTGCAGGAGCTGACCGGTCTTCCGGGGAGGAGGGCGAGGAATGTGCTCTTCGGGGGCGGCCAAGAGGGGGGTTGTCGGGCGTGTCCCCCTAAAGGGGGATTTTCGACGACAAATAACAAACACCCCAAAAACATTCCAAAAATGTCAACAAAAACTAAAAAATAGTCCCTGGACTATGTTTGGACAATTTCTTGAGTATTGCTTGGGTATTTTTTCTTTTTCGTCGAAAATCCCCGTGTAGGGGGACAGGCCCAACTTAAGAGTAGGGGGGGATATCATGGTGGGGGCCATGTCATCTCCCCAGATTTCATGGCGCCTCTTCTTATTCCACTACGTCTCTTGCCCCCCTCTGGGCCGGCCATGATTTGCGCCCCCTCCTCTTGGACGCCCCCCTCTTGGCCGCCCCCGGTGGAGGTGGGTCGGTCACTCCGCCTTGTCGTGGACGACGGGTGCTCGGGCCAGTTGGGCGGCCGCGACTCGCTGCCTCACCTGTCTTGCCCCTTTCGAGGGTCGCCGCCACGCTGGCCCCCTCGGCGTGTGTGCCCCCAGAGCTTGCACGAGATGCCAGGCAGAGAGGGGGATAGGGGGATGGGAAGGGGAGGGGGAAGGCCACTCGGCCGCTCGTTCGTCCTTCTCTCTGATTGTGGCAGCGCGAGACTTCAAGACCATTGGGGTTTCTGGGATACATCTCGGAGTAATTTCAAAGGTCGCTTGGGACCGGTTTGGGAGCTTTCAAGGCCCTCATTCTGTCACTGAGGGGCCATTTTGGGACTGTGTCGTTTCTGAGGCTTGCGCCAGGGCTGGCGGTAACGGCCGGCGGGCCATTTGGGAGTCCATCGATCCCAAAGGAGGGGCCCAATTCAGGTCTCCCGCCCCGAGCAGGAAACAATTGTGACGTGAGCCTTTTTTGGAAGCTAGTGTGGCGTTCTTGAGGGCCTTGAAGACTTCGTTTTCAGCGTTTATTGTCGCCTTCTCGGGCTCTCTATTGGGCGGTCGTGGAGCCATCTAGGAGCAGCTGAAGCCCACCGGAAGCGATAGGGCGGAAACGTGAAGCGACGAATAACACATGGTGTCTGGAAGGCTTGGGCCTCTCGGGAGGGTCCTGTAGAGGCGTGGCCACGCTTGGAGCCATCTTGGGGCCCCCTGGCCCTGTAGGGGGCCTCTCGGAGCATCCCTGGAGGGCACTTTGGTGTGTCATGTGGGAGGCCTTCCACGGGCGAGTGTGGAGGCCCCGGGTGCCTTGCGGAGGCGCGCGCTGGGGGGGCTCACGTGCCCCCCTTTGCAGCCGGCATCTTGGACCCCGTGGAGAGTCGGGAGCCTCGAGACGAGGGTCAATGCAAACGGGGGTCAGCCAGGGCACCGGATCCTGCAGGATCCTGCGAAGACCCCCTCTGGCTGACCCGAGTCAGGGAGCCGCTCGTGGCCGCGAGGCGGCCGCTCATATTGTCTGACCCGGGTTTGCGAAGACCTGCGCTGCAGTTTTTTTTTTTGTTCCTGCATTGCAGTTTTTGGTTTCTCGTTGACCCGGGTCTGGATTGACCCGGGTCAGAAGATCCCCGATGAGAGGGACAGAGAGAAGTATGCAGCTAATCTCGAGCAGCGGCGGGGCGTCCTGGCTCGCCGATAGCCCTACCAAGCAATGTTCTAAGAACCGTTTGTGGTCCCCACGCAATGTTCTTAGAACATTTCTGGCTGGGACTGTCTTGTCTTATCCCACCGGGTGTATGTAAGAACATTCCGTGGTAGGACTATAGGAATGCCGGCACGGTCGGTCCTTGCTCAGATCATTTCACTCGCCTCTTCACCCCAGGCAAGCGGAGATCGGCGGATCAACATCCCGCCTTGTGGGACCGATCAGTGTTAGAGGTCGGGGCGGGTGGACACAGTTGAAGTGGGGTCGTCGGCAGCTATGCCGTCAGTGCCCCTTTGCACCTTGCCTTTGTTGCGCTTGCATGGCGTGTCATAACACATGGAAGTGCCAGCGCCGATGCAAACGTGGGGCTAGGTCATGAAAGCCTTCGTTGCTTCCCTTCTCCCTCGCATCCCCTTCTTCATCCTCCTGTTTTTCCAAGCCGTGGTACCGAAAAACGAAAGAAGGTTTGGTCGCGTGAGGGTGCCCGATTTACTTCGCGCTCGGTCGATGTGACACCGATATGGCGTGAGCATGGTCAGGTGAAATATGGTAGTCACGCGATCTTGCCTCGCAAACTAGAGACTTCACACTCACTAACAGTTACGTTGTTCTGTTGGCCAATTTCGTTATTGCATCCGGACAACCTCGCAACAGGCCTCGCACAAGGCCGCATGATCCATTGCTTGCTTGCCTGCTTGCTTAGATCACCTCGGGCAGCCATATTCGAAGTGTTGTTGTGGTCGAAAAGGCTTTTCCCCCCCAGGAACCAAGAAGATATACCCGTTACGGGCAGGTGAAGGACGACGTGGAGCGATCGCTCAGGCATTGCAGTGCGGGGGAAGTTCAGGGAAAGCGACGGGAGGTTGGATTTCTTCCATATTTGACTCCCGCACTTGAGACACTGCCTCCTCGCACCTCCCTCTACCCTTCCCCCCCCCGTTATCCTTTCCCTTCACCTCTCCCCTCCCGCCCTGCACACTTCCAGCCCCTGCCCCCGTCATTCTTCCCGCGTCCTTCCCGCCCCTTTCTTCTTTCATCTCCGCCTCTTCTCCTTCACCCGTCCTCTCATATTCTCATGTCTCTCCGGCTCTTCTCTCCTTCTGTCGCCGGCAGAATGTTGGAACCAGTGTTGACGGTTGGTTGCACGTTGGGTTGAGAGAGGTGCCAGAACGGAGTGGGATGGCGGGTAGTTTGAAGGGAAGGCAAGAAGGGGAAATGAATGTAGGGGGGAAAGGAACCACGGATCTTAATTCATTGCACGCAATCTTTTTGGGAGCGTCGTTGTAGGATGACATTGAATGATGTGTAGGAGTTCAGAGGGCAGAATAATTCTTTGGTCAGGCGTTACAGCGTAGAACAGAATTCAACTGCGTCGTGTATTGTCCCCTGGGCGCTGCACTGCCACTGCTCAGATATTGGCACTTGGACGGGGTGCTGCTGCGATTCCGCAGGTGCCCCGTGCCGCTTAAGCCTTGGGGAGCAGCCATGTTGTCAACGGCACGGTTGACCTTTCGTTGGATTGGAGAGGGATCCCGCCCAGATGAAGGGTGTTGCTTCGGGTTCAGTCGTGTCTTTAGAAGCCTCCTTAGTTTATCCAGGTCGTTTGGCGAGCCCCCAACGCAGTCATCCGTATCAACGGATCTCAGCGATGATGGACGGACCCGAGTTTAACTTGGTTTTTCTTCGTATATGTTTCTGCCTCGTGTTATTCGTCCGTATCCCTCCAATATTTTGTCCTCCTCCCCCTCTTTCTTTTCCCCTTGTTCTGCCTCGTCATGTTCGTCTTCGTAGCCGAGCACCCCCGATAATAAACCATCCCCCCCTCAAACTCTTGAGAGTGCATTATCCCGGGCTCAGACAGAGTTGGTCGGGGGAATGGGGCGGCGAGGCCGAACTTCTATATCGCCGGAGAAAGTTCGAATCGAAGTCGTTATCCTCTGATGTTGAGTAGCATCACTACCACGAACGTGTGGCAGGGCTACGGGCTTTTCACCGTTTTAGCTTCCCAAACGAACGTGTGGAAGGGCTTTGGTATTTTCACTATTTCAGCTTTCCAGACTCTCGAACGTGTGGCAGGTGTCGTGTGCTTCCGGCCCCTCCACGGAGGCTCCACCAGAGCGAGCATGATATCGTTCTACCGTATTATTAACATATCGTCGTACATACGTGTTCTCGGGAGAAAGATCTAGTATCCCCTCGAACCCCGAATTCTAGTATTCCCACCCTGTGGGCATCGGAGGCATAGGGTTATGGATCTCCCTAATCAATTGTTGGGACTATCCTCCTCCTCGTGTCTCGTCCTTCTGAAGGGCGGAAATCAACCATGAGGAGGAGCTAGAGCACGAGGGACTGAGGTGTCCAGGGGTCTCTCTTCAGGCAAGAGCCAGATGTGAGAAAAACAGTTCAGTTCGGCGTGATCAGCCCGGGCTCAGCCATGCGCAGAGAGTGGTGGGGGGAGGGAGGAGGGTTTCTTAGAAGCACCCATGCTTCTTAGAAGGCGCTGGCCTTATCTATAGATGTGAGGCCGGCGCCTTCTAAGAAGCAGCCTGATTCTAAGAAGCCCTCCCCCTCCCCCCACCCCCGTGTGCGTGCCGCCAACAGGCGGTGAGTCAAGCGGTGAAGTAGGGGGGCAGGGAGACTGGCGTGTGAGCAGCCTACCAGGCGGCACGCCGCGACACCCCTTGTTTCTGGATGCGGCCCCTCAGTGTCAGAATTCTGGTAGTGATTGGGCCCATGGCAGGCCAGCCACAACTGGGGGAGCTGTGGTCCTTACCCCCCTGGGGGACCCATCGATTTCGACACCGCTCTCGAGAGCTCGTCGAGGCGATGGGTTCCCCCAGGGGGTAAGGACCACAGCTCCCCCAGTTATGGCTGGTCGGCATGGCCCTCCCTCGCTCGCTCCCTCTTCGGTCTCTTCACCCCCTTCCACTTGGCACGGATTCTTCTGCGCGTGCGTTCTTTGTGAGATACATGTGTGTATATACATATAGACATACATGAATAGAGACACAATCTACCAGGTTACCCGGGGCCCCCGCCACCCTAGCCAGGCCCCGGGCACACGGCCCAAATATTCAGGGCACGCTTTCGTGACCGCCGTCAGGGGGCGTCCAGGACGGCCCGAGACGGCCACGGAAGGGTGCAAAAGTTGGAGAGCTTCCGAAGAGCTCTCCAGGACGGGCCAAGACCGCCTACATACAAGTCCCGGGATGGATTCCAAGTCGCCTCGCGAGGGGTCCCCAGGACGCCCCCGAGAGCATAGCATAGCAAACAAAAGCAGTGGTTCTCAATGTTCCCTACCTAGGCTCTGCCTAGAAGGGTTCTTACTCTCTTTGCTTAAAGGGGCCGGGCAGTGTTCCCCGCCCCGGGCGGTTCCCCCAGGATCCGCCCCGCGGTTCCCCCAGTCCCCTGGGAGCTTTAGCTTTAGCTTTAGCTTTAGATTTAGCTTTAGCTTAGCTTTAGCTTAGCTTTAGCTTAGCTTTAGCTTTACTTCAGCTTAGCTTTCGCTTTAGCTTAGCTTTGGCTTGGCTTTAGCTTAGCTTTAGCTTAGCGGTACCTCAGATTTAGCTTAGCTTTAGATTAGCTTTACCATAGCTTTAGCTTAGCGTTAGCTTAGCTTCAGCTTAGCTTCAGCTTAGGTTTAGCTTAGCTTTAGCTTAGCGTTAGTTCAGATTTAGCTTAGCTTCAGGTTAACTTCAGCTTAGCTTTAGCTTAGCTTCAGCTTAGCTTCAGCTTAGCGTCAGCTTAGCTTTAGCTTAGCTTTAGCTTAGCTTTAACTTAGCTGTAGCTTAGATGTATATTAGCTTTAGCTTAGCTTTAGCTCAGCTTTAGCTTAGCTTTACTGTTACTACTAATGCTGCTTTTCTAGGGGCTCCAACTCCTAGGTAGGGTCGCACTGGGATAATTTATGGCTGTCTCGCCTTTTCGGTCCCGACGGGGTCTTAGAGACCTCGAGCCGTCTCTAAGATCGCCCAGCAAAGCTCCTGGAGATGCACAAGACAGGCCCACGACGCTCCAAGAAGACTCCAAGATGGCCCCAGGACGATACAACACCCTCCAAATGGCGCCCACGACGCCCCAAGAGAGCCCGAAGGCGCGCCCAAGAGGCTCCCAAGGTACCCACCAAGCGCTTCCCGATCGCTCTTGGCGCCAATGTGGCCCTTTGGGGCATCCCGGAGGCCCCTAAGATGCTCCGAAGTGGCCCCCAAACGCTTCCACGGGGCCCCAGGCTCCCAAAAGGCCCCCAATAGACGCCCAAGTGGCCCCCAAGAGTCCCCCGAGCGGCCCCCGAGAGACTACAAGGTTATGTTTGCACGCCTCCTCTTGCAGACATTCCCATTCTGGAAGGCATACAAGCACCCCCACTTGTTTCATATTCCTCTTCTTCATCCTCATTCCGTGCTTGCTGTTGTTTGGATGCGGAGTTAGGCTGCCTTTCGGAGGCCACTCACCACTCAGCCTCAGGGGCCAACTTTGCATAGCGATGCGTTGACCATCGTCTTCGTCCTCTCCCCTATCCCAGCCAGTCTCCTTCCTCATCCTCCTGCCCTCCCCTGTCAATCATGTGGCGTCGCTTCCTCCCCCCACTCCCTCTTCCTCGTCCTCGTCCTCTTCCTCGTAGTCCTCCTCCCTCCTGCCCTCCCCCAGCCGCAGCTGGCTTCTGCCTCGCCGCTGGGCGCTCTCCTCGATGCGTGGCCGCCACTGGTGCCGGGAGGCGACAGGAAAGGAAGCAGCTGCGTGAGCTGATCTGCTACCCCGCCCCTTGCTCCCCCCCGCCTGTTCCTGTCCGCTCCTCGACCTCAGGTGGCCTCGCGCAGATGCCCCGCGCGGGGCGTACCCCTGGGAGCGCATATCCATGGGGTCGCGCCTCGAAGGGCAGACCGTGAAGGCACGGACATGGACATGTACTCCAGATTCTTCAATAAGCCCCCCCCCCGTGCCAACCTGTCCGACGCCCCTTGCCCGCCCCCCCCAACGCGCCCCAACCCCACCCCCTCTCGCTCCCCAACCTCCCCACGCCCCCCGAAGGACAGCGGTTTCCCCCCCCCCACGCGATCCACCCCCCCACGCCTTGGAGAGACCTGGAGTATGTGTTTTTGCGATTGTCGCGGAGGGGACGGAGGAGGGGTGCAGGGTCGGCGGCTCCAAGCCAGCTGCCTCGGCTTCCCATGGAGGCTCCTTGCCTCCAGGGCCTCTCCACAGAGGCCCAGGACCGTCCCAGGCGGCCCCTAGATGGGCCAAGGGAGCCTCGAGAGGCTCCCAGGACGATCCAAGAATGCCTTGCAGGAGAACTACGACTGTCTCAAGGAGGGGGCCAATGACAACAGGGCAAAAAGACGATTGGGTCATCGCGGTAAGCAGCAGGTCTCACCACGTCGAATGCATTCACAAGCAAAGTGCTGCTAGGTCTGGCGCGCAGAGAAAAAACTACGATCCGAGCATGCCCCGAATCGCTAGCAGAGGCGCTCCACGCGCCAGGTGACCTCCCGACGGCCCAGCAGGCCTTCAAGACACCCCAGCATACCTCCAAGCGCACCCTCACGAGGGCCCCAGGAACCACAACTCCTTGATGCTACCTATTTATATAGATACATGTGTAGAATTATGTATATATACACATACATATCTATATACACATGCATATATATATATATATATATATATAGAAGATACATGGGTGCATGTATATAATCACACACACACATATACATATATATATATATATATATATATATATATATATATATATTCGCGGGGGACGGGGGCCCGGGGCTTTGGCCCAGGGACCTCTGCGCACCATGGGTGGGCCACCGGCCTCCGCACGGCTCCGGACCGTCCGGCGAGGGATGCCGGGCGGCCTTTGGAGGCTCCAGGCCCTCGCAGGGATTGGCCCTAAAAAATTCGCCGAGCGCGTTCCACTACTATCGGGGGAAGTGAACTATGCACATGCACCGATCCTGGCAAGGCCCATCTTTGACCCAGGATCGGTGCGGTAGGAGGGCGTATGCACCGATCCTTGGCTCAGGATGGGCCTGGCCAGAATTGGTGTATGTGCATTGTTCTCTTTCCTCTATACTCGCAAAGTGCCTACTCGGAGACGTCCGAAAACCAACGTTCGCCTCGATGCAATCTATCGTGACCCCCCCGCGGCTGATCCGGGCCACTTGCGAGTAGTGCTTTTGCGAGTAGCGGAGCGCGCTTGCCTAAATGCATATATATATATATATATATATACACATACGTACATGTACACATATATATATATATATGTATGCATGCATCTAATCATATATATATATATATATATATATATATATATATATATATATATATCGCGGGGGACGGGGGCCGGGGGCTTTGGCCCAGGGACCTCTGCGCACCATGGGTGGGCCACCGGCCTCCGCACGGCTCCGGACCGTCCGGCGAGGGATGCCGGGCGGCCTTTGGAGGCTCCAGGCCCTCGCAGGGATTGCCCCAAAATACTCGCCGAGCGCGTTCCACTACTCGCAAAGTGCCCACTGGCAGACGTCCGAAAAACCAACGCTCGCCTCGATGCAATCTATCGTAAGCCCCCCGCGGCGGATCCAGGCCATTTGCGAGCAGTGACTTTGCGAGTAGCGGAACTCGCTTGCCTAAAAGCACGCAAGGTAGGCCCGAGTCGGGACAAGAGGTTCCCCAGAGGTCCCAAGAGGTCGCCCCAAGACCGCCGCAGACGCCCCCGAGGTGCCAATGCAGCCCTCGGAGGTCCCTAACAGGCCAACGAGGCTTCTTGGGCCCCAGGAGGGGACTTCCTGAGGCTCCTGCGAGGCCCTCTTGGGCCCCTACACCTCGGCGCGGGGGCGCTTCCAGAGGCCTCTTCGGTTCCTCCCGGAGCCCTTCCCAGCCCTTCTTGGGGCCGTCAACGCGGGAGGGCCCCCAGAGGGCTCTCACAGCAGTGCAAGTTAGGTCACGCGAGAGAGCGCTCGCCTGACTTACCGATCACTGCTCGGCGAAGGCTGGCAAACCCGTGGTTGCTAAAACGGAGCTCAAGGAGTTAGTTTTGTTTTTGTTTCGGGAAGCCGCTTGTTTACCACTTAGTACTTAGTGCGCTGAGCTTTATTCCGGGAATATTTTTGTTTCTTCTGGGAAGGTCGCTTTAGTAGCCATGGATTTGACAGACCTCGCCCAGCTTCCTAATTGCGCTCGAGAGCACTGGAGCCCTCTTCGGGTCCGCCTGGAGTCCTTGTGCGGTCCCCCTCGGGCCCGCCAGCGCGGCCTCGGAAGGCTCCCGGGCTCCCAGAGGGCCCCAACAGCAGTGCAACTTACATTACGCGACAGAACGCTCGCGTGACGATGACGACAATGATGATTATGATAGTGACTATGATGACGATGATGCTGACGATGGCGACGATGATGGTGGTATTGGTGAGTATGGTGCCGGTGGCGATGATGATGATGATGATGATGCTGATGATGATGATGTTTGTTGCGACGATGGTGTTGGAGATTGTGTTCATGAGAATGATAACGATGATGATGATGATGATGGTGATTGATGATGGTGATGCTGATGATGATGATGATGATGCTGATGCTGTGTGCGACAATGGTGTTGGAGATCGTGATGATGATACGTACCATGCTGATGCTGATGATGGAGGTGATGATGGTGATGGTGATGGTGATGCTGCTGATGGTGATGATGATGATGAAGTTGAGGATAGCGATGTTCTGAATGGTATCGGTGGCGATGATGGTGACGATCATGATCGTGATGGTGATGTTGATTATGGTTACTCCCGCTCGTCGGTCCAGCGACTGTATTCTCGTGTGGCAACACCCACGACATGCATTAGAAGTTCATCGCGCGCAAATTACCCACGATGAGTCTAGCATATATGCATATTTGTAGATATGCACCTAGACATATATGTTTATATATATATGTGCATATGTAGATTTACATGCATGCATGACTGGATGTACTTGAGTATGTACGTATCCAAGTATGTATCCGTGTGTCTGTGAAGATATGTATGTCAGTGTGCAAGTATGTATGCATGCATGTGTATGTATGTCTTCATATAAATATATAAGATACGTACATGTATATATATGTACATGTATGCATATACGTATTTATGTGTGCATGTGTGCCACATGGTTGCTTGTATGTATGTGTAGGCATGCGTGTGTACATGCATGTATGTCTGTATGTATGTTTGCATGCTTATATGTGTGCATGAATGTATGTATGCATGGGTATGTGCATGCATGTATGTGTGTTGGCATAGGTGTATGTACGTATATATGCATGCATGCACGCACGCATGCATGCATGCATGTTCGTACGTGCATACATCTGTGTATGCGTGTGCATGCAGGTGTGCATGCATGTTTGTATGTACGTACGCACGTGTGTATATGTATGGATGTATGGATATATGGATGTATGGATGTATGTATGTATGAATGTATGCATGTATGTATGTATGTAGGTAGGTATGTATGTATGTATGTATGCATATATATATATGTATGTATGCATGTATGTATGTATGTATATATGTATGTGTATGCACGCCTGCATGTATTTTATGTATGTAACTCTTTATGTAAGTATGTATGTATGTGTGTCTCTCTGTGTGTAAATGTGTATGTGTGTATGCGTGTATATAGTTGTATGCAACACGCCCTGTGATACGAGAGGATACTCATGACGAGAAGGGAGGAGAAGAAGGATGATGCAGAGGAAGGCCGCCACATTTGACACATCTCGCCTTCACATCCCGAGGAGCTCTCACAGAGCTCGGTGGGGCCGTGCTGGGGCAGTCTCTTGGGCGTCCCAGGGGAGTCATATGGGGGCCCTCTCGGGCCGTCTTGGAGCTCTCTTAGACCGTCTTGGAGCTCTCTTGAGCCGTTGTGGGGTCCTCTTGGCCACAAGGGGGATGTCGTCTTCAAGGCGTCTTGGGGCCGTCCTGACTCGTTCTTTGCGTCAGAGACAAAACGCCATAAACATAAACATAACCATAAACATGACGCTGGACCCCCACGGCGGCGCCTCCGGCGCAGATTTAAGAAATCCGGTCGGAGCGCCAAAAGGTTACGTTAAGTTTTCTCGTGTTCTCTTATCTGGGGCACCGGATGATCTCCTAACGCCGTCGTGGGTCTTTTTGGTGGCCTCCATGGGCTTCTCAGGACCGTCCTGGAGGCCTCTTGGGCCATCATTGGGAACCTTTTGTTGGACGTCTTGGAGCCATCTTCTCGGAAACGCGAACCCATGGCTGCGAAACGAGGGATCGTTGCATCGTGGGCGGTGGTCAGTCGTTTTATCAGGGGACAGCCTCGAGGGGGGGGCGGGGGCGATGCATGCGACGACCCGTGATGAGAAGGTTGGGGCGTCCGTTGACAGAAGAAATTAGGAGCCCGGCCTCAGTGGGTCAGGGGGCGCATTAGCAGATAGTGGCCTTCGGCACCTACCGCCACCGCCACCTGGACCAACGGCCTTTTTGGGATACGTCCCACGTTCTCTGGGGATGTTTCCCGAGGGCTTCCTGGACGTTTCTCGGGGACTCCCGGGGGCCCAGCATGCTCTGGTATGGTCCTAGTGGTACGTCATGGGTCACATCGTTTGCCGTGGGCCTGGTATTGTTTTATATTACCCAAGTCGTACCACCAAGGTAACATCGACACCATTGCGATCATTCGGCCCCGAACGCACGTTTGGCAGTGTGGTCGAATCATTCGGATACCAGTTGGGTGATGTCGGTTCTGGTCGTTTTTCGCATGGCCAAAGTGGTACCCTTCCGGTTATACCTGCCGCAATGGTGCCTATGTGACCCAAGTGGTGCCAACAGGATCGTAGAGGCCGGCGCTCTTTTGAACCGAGGAGCGCCGTTTGTTGTGTATTTGGGTCATCCAGGCATTAAGATACCATGTTGGTTAGATCGGCCAGAGTAATTTCAAGCATGACCCGGGTGGTACAACGACGGCCGTTGTGGCTTTGATATGGCGATTGCGGTACCAAACGATCACGTATTGTATCGATTCCAGCCACATGATTGGTCGTGCATTTTAGTCATTCGGAAAACACTTCGGCCAGCTTTCCCCACTGTAGTGGAGGAGGGGGAGATGGCGGAAGGAGACTGTATACGAAGGTTTCCTACGTCTTTCCTTTTGTGCCCAGTCATTGCAGGGCTTGATTGGGTCGAGGTTCGCTGGTTCTGTTGCATCCGCCGCTGCCACTGTCCCTGAGCGGAGGTACGCCGTGCGAAAAACCCACACGCCAGGGAAGTTCAACCTGGCAAAGGAAGCCGTCTCGTTTTATTCCACCCTCCCCCGCAGTCCTTTCCTGGTCTCCCTCCGCGTTCTTTCCCCTCCCTCGTCAATCTCCCTCTCTCCCCTCTCCCTACATCGCTCTGTTTGTGCTGCATGTGCTTAGTTTGTTGCATTTGAGTGCCGCCTGTCGTTTTGGAGACAGCTCCTCCTAGAACAGGCACGCAGGCTGAACTCAACTGAAATAGATTTACCCTCCCTCTCCATCCATCCTCAAGTCTGGTCTCTCCTTAACTCCTCATTTTCGCTTTCTCCTGCATCGTCCCACCCTACTCTCGTCTGATCCCCCTCCTTGCCCTCCTCCTGCTTCTTCCCGTCGTTCCGAGTCTTCCTAGTACTCCTCCTCCTCGTCCTCTTCCTCCTCCTCCTTCTCCTCCTCTTTCGCCTCTTCCTGGCAAATTGGCAGGTGTAAGCATGCTCCCCGTCTTCTTTCCCCCTCCTCCCGTCCCCCCCCGTGCATACTCCAGCCCGTGGGGTGACCCAGTGATTGGTACGCCACACCGCCGCCCACTGTTGTCCCGTGTGCGTATGCCGAGCTCGGCCCTCTCCATGAGGAAGGCGCTGGAAGTGGTTGTGAGCACGTGCTGACGTCCCTTCGAGAACAGACGGCCGAGGGGTTTGGACCGTAGGCCTGTTGAATGAGTTTAAATTGTCAGGCCAGGGCGAGGCAGAATGAGAGTAGATCCTCCTCGTCCTACTTATGTTTCGCCTTCGTCCCCCTGGGCGGTGAGATGGGGCAGACATTCTGCCGGACAGTTTGGAGGCAGTGTCTACCATGTTCGCATGTTAGGTCGCACGTTGTGTATTTGATGAAAGCGCGAGCAGAACTTGCCGTTGTTGCGGTGTCATGCCCAGGCCTTGAGAGTAGAGGGAATATGCGGGTGTGCCCAAGACCTCCACGAGGACTCCTCCTCACGCACGCATCCCTCCCCGCACAGCGGCGATCGCCGAACGTCGGTTTTCCCACGCGTTTCAGCGCATGGCACGAGTGAGTGGGTCCCTCACCAGCCTCGAACTTATCCCTATCCCTAAGATTGACCCGCCGAAAGGCGATGGCAATCTTAGGGATGCGCCCTCAAAAACTGTGGGAATCTCTAAGATTGGCAGCGTGATGGGGCGATGCCCATCACGATGCCAATCTTAGGTGCACAAGATGCGTGCAGTGTCTGTCGACCTTTTCGCGCCACGGGCACGACAGGCCGAGGGCCGCCCGTGGCCCGTCCGCTGGTTCCCTCGTCGCTGCGCGGCCCGGCCTGCCGGGGTCCGAGCGGGCGCAGGGCGGCATCTCGGCGGGCTCGTCCGCGGCGAAGCACCGCGCGGAGGCCTCGAGGGCGCTGGCGCAGATGTTCGGGCGCCCCTCCGCGCGACGGGGGGGGGCAGCCGATCGGGCCATCTCCCCGTCTGCGTTGCGTTGTCGATCCTCTGCCCCCTCCTCCTCCTCCACAATTACTCAATATGAAAATACTCTCCCTCTTCCCCTGATGGCGTCCGGGTGATGGCCGCGCACCCTCCGCGTATTGTTTTTTACACACAGGATGCCCGGGAAATCCCGGGAAACGACTCTCGCTGAGGCGCCGGCGTCATTTTTTCCCAAAATGCTGCTCTCGTTGAGGCGCCGGCCTCATTTCTGCTCCCGAATCGTTCCGAATCGTGCTCCCGCTGCAGCGTGGGCCTCATTTTCGGATCGGTGTTTGGCCTCCGTCGTTCAGGATGGCGTTCTCGCCCCAGCGCGGGCCTTTTTCTCGCGCGCCCATCCGCCCGCCACCACCGCGCCGCACCGCCACCACCACCACCACCACCACCACCACCACCACCACCACCACCACCACACCACCAGCACCAGCACCAGTACCAACACCACCACCACCAGCACCACCACCACCACCACCAGCACCACCACCACCACCATCACCACCACCACCACCACCACCACCACCACCACCACCACCACCACCACCACCACCACCACGACAACCATACACGCACGCACGCACGCACGCGCACCACCACCCACTACGCACGCGCGCGCGGAGCCACAGGTCCGCTACGACACGCGTCCGCGGATAGAGAAAATCAGCGCCATGGTAAGGGATGGGAGGGAGGGGTAGGACGTCAGATATGACGCGAGCGTACCTAGCTTGTCCCCTCCCCCTCCTCCTCCTCCTCCTCCTCCTCCTCCTCCTCCTGCTCGTCACCATCCGTTCCCATCACCTGCACCACAATCCACCATTAATCATCATCATCAGCAGCATCATCATCAGCATCAGCATCAGCATCAGCATCATCATCATCATCATCATCATCATCATCATCATCATCATCATCATCATCCACAGCATCGTCATCATCACCATCATCAGCATCATCAGCATCAGCATCAGTACCGGCATCAGCATCATCACCATCATCAAGCTCATGTCGTATCTTTTCTTAGTTGTTCTCCTTCGGGGGCCAGCTCGTGTTCCCCATCCATGCGCGCGTACCTTTTGCTGGACCTTCTTGTGGGGCTGGTGCACCACAATTCACAATGCATCATCATCATCATCATCGTCATCATCATCATCACTATTATCATCTTCATCACCAGCAGCATCATCAGCATCAGCATCACATCACGTCACACGATCATCATCAACATCATCACAATTACCATCAACATCACCGTTGTCGTTGTCATTGTCATTGTCATTGTCGTTGTACTTGCTATCGACACCATCACCATCATCAACACCACCATCGTCATCACCAGCACCATCTCCATAATCATTGTCATTGCCATCGTTATCAATAGCATCATCATCACCATGTGTTCTCCTTCACATCAACACCCCCATCATCATGATCATCATCGTTACCAGCATCATCAGTATTATCACTATCGTCATCATCCTCATCATCATAATTAGTTCACTCATCATCATCATCACTCTCATCATCCACATCGTCATCAGCATCATCACCAACATCATCGTCAGCTTCATCACCATCATCACTATCGTCATCATACTTATCATCATCAGCATCATCACCATCATCATGCTCATGTCGTGTCTTTTCTTTGTTTTCCTCCTTCTGGGGCCGACTCGTGTTCCCCGTCCATGCGCGCGTACACTTTGCTGGACCTTATTGTGGGGCTGGTGTACAATCGTTTTCCCAGGGGGTGCAATTGTTGCACACAAGCTCCACGGCTTCTTGCTGAACCAGCTTGTTTGTAGGCGTGGTGTACAAATACCGTGCCCCCATTCTTGCTATTCGTTCTCCTTCTGTTCCTCCTGCTCCTCAGGTCTCGTCCTTCTCATGCTCCTGCGTAGTCATGATCCCCCCCTCGTCCTGCTTGTCCCACTTTTGTTCCCCCTCCTGCTCCCCCTCCTCATCGTGCACACTGTTGTGCTCTTATTCCCTCCTCCCAATATTCCCCATCCTTCTATAATTTCTAAAGCTTGAAGATCTTCGTGGTCACCCTGCAAAGCCCGAAGGTCAGCCCAGGAGCAGGAATGTGAACATCTCAGCGATGATAGAACACATTGTGGCTTGGGCCGGCTCTTGAGGTGCGGAGGGTTTTTCATTCCTCCTGCGGCCCGAGGGCTACTGCTGGTGGTTCCGCGAGCGTGGACTGTGCTCTCGCAACCTCGCATCCGTCCTCCCCCATTCTTCAGGCCCTTCCCTCAGAGCAGGAGAAGGTGCCCATACCTCTACCTTTCCCTCGTTTTGCACGTTTCCGGCCTCCTGGGAGGCCCTCGTCGCCACCGCTGGACTCGCTTCGAAATTCTCGTGAGAGCGCATCCCCCAGGAGAGGTCCGGGGAGTGGCGGTATCGGTGCCCTTCGGTGACCCCATCCCTCCCCGACCGCTCCAGCCAGCCACCCCTCGGGAGGGAGGAGGAGAGAGGAGGAGGAAGAGGAGGAAGAGGAGGAGGAGGAGGAGGAGGAGGAGGAGAAAGAGGAGGAATGAGGAGGGAGATGGGGGGATAAGGAGAGAAAGAGGAGGAGGGGAGGGGAGGAGGGAGGAGGAAGAGGAAGGAAGAGGAAGGAGGATGAGAGGGATGAGGAGGGAGGAGGGAAGAGGAGGGAGGAGGGAAGGGGAAGACGGAGGGAGGAGGGAGGAGGAAGAGGAGGGAGGCAGGAGGGAGGAGGGCAGGGAGGGAGGCAGAGAGGAGGGGGAGGAGGGAGGAAGGAGGAGGAGGAGGGAGGAGGACGAGGAGGAAGAGGAGGATGAGGGAGGAGGAGCCTCGCCGGGCGCCCCGCCAGGGAGTTTGCGGCCCAGCACGCCAGGCTGCCCGCGCCCGGCGAGCGGGCGCCCTGCGGAGCCCGGCGGCCCCCACCCGACCTTTTGTTCGGCCGTGGCAGCGCACCGGGGCGGAGGGGAGGACGGGCGGAGGAGGCGGGGGAGGAGGAGACGGGGGGAGGAGTCGAGGTGAAAGACAAGGAGGAGGAGAGGAGGAGGAGGAGGAGGGGAGGAGGAGGAGGAGAGGAGGAGGAGGGGGAGGAGGGGAGGAGGTGGAAGACAAGGCGGGGGAGGAGGAGGCGGAGGAGGAGGAGGAGGAGGAGGAGAGGAGGAGGAGGAGGAGGAGGGAGGAGGAGGACGGAGGAAGGAGGTGGAAGACAAGGCGGGGGAGGAAAGGAGGAGGAGGAGGAGGAGGAGGAGGAGGAGAGGAGGAGGAGGAGGAGGAGGAGGAGGAGGAGGATGAGGAGGAGGAGGAGGAGGAGGGAGGGGAGGAGGAGGAGGAGGAGGAGGAGGAGAGGAGGAGGAGGAGGAGGAGGAGGAGGCGGAGGAGGAGGAGGAGGAGGGGGGGCGGAGGAGGAGGAGGAGGAGGAGGAGGAGGAGGAGGAGGAGGAGGAGTGAGGAGGCGGAGGCGGAGGGGAGGGCGGATGGCGGAGGAGGAGGAGGAGGAGGAGGAGGAGGAGGAGGAGGAGGAGGAGGAGGAGGAGAGGAGGAGGAGGGGGAGGGGAGGGGGAGGAGGAGGAGGAGGAGGAGGAGGAGGAGGAGGAGGAGGAGGGGAGGAGGAGGAGGAGGAGGAGGAGGAGGAGGAGGAGGAGGGAGGAGGAGGAGATGAGGAGGAGGAGGAGGTGGAGGTTCAGCAGGAGGAGGAGGTGCGGGGGGCGGAGCCGAGGATGGGCGACCACAGTTGGGCGGCCTGGAGTTTGCCCTGTCGTGGCAGCGGCCTTCGCCGCTCCGACGGCGACGCAGGCGTCGCCGGCGGCGGCGGCGGCGAGGACGCCGACGACGAGGGGACGCCGACGACGGCGACGGCTGCCACGATATTGTCGGGGCCTTGACTTAAGGAACCCAAAATAAGGAACGAGGCCCCTTTTCCATAAGTTAAACTTCGATTTCCGATCGGAAACATAAGGAGAACCTGAGGCAAGCTGCGAAACACTTAAGGAACGCGGAGCCCCTCCCCAACGAAAAGGGTTCCTTCTTCAGGGCCCCGACTGTAGAGTCAGCTCCAGGCGGCCCAATCCTGTCACCGCAGGGCCGGGCGGGGAGCGGAGCTGGGTGTGATTCCGCCAGGGTGTATGTTGCGATCGGCGCCGTCGGGGCGTAGAGGTCACCACAAGGTTGAATGAGCCCCTGTCGGGGCGCGGCATAGATCTCTGTCGAGGTCCTCCCCACCCCCCAGGCGCGAGTTGCAAACCATATCCTCTTCAGACCACACGCTCTTCGGAGTCGCCAGGAGGATGTCAGTCAGGAGGGAACACAAACACACAGATACAACTGACTGTCGATCCCCAAGAAAATGCAGGACATTTTGGAAAGCGGAGGGGAACACAAACATCAATATCGTATGACATGCACATGTGGAATGTTGGGATGTGTGTCCACTTATCCGTAAGGGCTTCGTCACCTGCCGACGGCCCCCTCTCGGATAATGGGGTTATGCAAGCGCTGTGTTGTGAGGCTTGGGCGCCGTCATGAAGCAGCTTCCGCTCTTGGAGCGCTCTTGGGAGCCTCTTGGTAGCCTCTTTGGGCCATCTTGGGACCATCTTGGCCGCCTTGGAGTACTCGTTGGGTCGTTTTGGAGGCATTTTGGGCCGTTTTGGGGGTCCTTTGATGAAGGACTGTGGTCTCGAAAGGGGAGTTTTTACTATGGGGACGCAGGATTCGTGCCATTTGCAAAGAAGTCTTCCTTCGGAGACACGAGCATCGATGGTCCCGTGAAAAAATTGAAAGGGCTGATCGTTTCGGGGAGGTGAAAATATTGTAACGTAGGAAGGTCTGGCCTGGGGGGGGCGAACCTGTGGTAATTTAAGTGAATCTGGCTTCAGGGGCGACGGGGATCACGCATGTGTATGTTTTTGGGATCCCCCAGGAATTTTGATAACCCCCTTAGGTGGTGGTAGCTAGGGTTTTTGTTTCGGCTTCACCCCCTCGCGCGGACTTCAACAATTCACAGTAGGAAGCAGACCGCAGAACTGTAACATCAGAGAGCTGGAGCTGGAGCAGGGAGCAGCAAGACTGACCCGCGGAGCCCTGTGGCCCCACAAGTGGGCTGGCGGACTTGCGTGTCCTTGGGCCCCCCCAGTCCGAGGAGGGAAGGACACCGACGACTGCCCTTCCCCCGTCGCCTCTGCTGGCTTCACCGCGCGAAGTCTTGGTAAGAGCGCGCCCCGAGAGAGGTCCACGGAGCAGTTGTGCCGGTATCTGTTTGTGTCCCCGAGAGGGGGGCTGGGGGAGTGGGAGCGCGGGAATGGCGGAGAGGGGACGGGGGGCGGGGCGGGGGCAGGCGGAGCGGGACGGGGAGGAGGGGTGGGGAGCAGGAGGAGGACGAGGAGAGGAGCGGGAGGAGCGAAGGCTCTGCGGAGGAGAAGAGGAGGGAGGATGAGGAGGAGGAGAGGGAGGATGAGGAGGAGGAGGAGGAGGAGGAGGAGGAAGAGGAGGAGGAGGAAGGGTGGAGGAGGAGGGGAGGAGGAGGGGAGGAGGAGGAGGAGGAGGAGAGGAGGAGGAGGAGGAGGAGGAGGAGGAGGAGGAGGAGGAGGAGGAGGAGGAGGAGGAGGAGGAGGAGGAGGGGGAGGGGGAGGAGGGGAGGGGGAGGAGGGAGGGGAGAGGAAGGAGGAGGAGGCGGGCGGAGGGGGAGGAGGAGGAGGAGGAGGAGGAGGAGGAGGAGTGAAGGAGAGGAGGAGAGGAAGGGGCGGAGGAGGAGGAGGAGGAGGAGAGGAAATAGGAGGAGGAGGAGGAGGAGGAGAGGAGGAGGAGGAGGAGAAGAGGAGGAGGAGGCAGGAGGAGGAGGAGGAGAGGACGGAGGAGGAGGAAGAGGAGGGAGGAGGAGGGGGGGGGACAGGGGAGGAGGAGGAGGAGAGGAGGAGGAGGAGGAGGAGGGGGAGGAGGATGGGAGTGCCAGGGCAACGGGTTGGTGGGGCAGGCACCCTGGCTCCCCTCACATTCCGTGGAGGGGACGGCCGGCTGCCCCGGCCGGCTGCACGGCCGGCTTCGCCGCAGCCATCTCGGCCCCCAGCTTCGCCTCCGCGCCTGCCCACCCGGTCGAAACGGGAGACAAAGGGGGCATGTGGGATTAAATACATTCCCACCCTGGTCTAAGTGTTTCTGGGCACAGGTGATTCACATGGAGCCTACAGGAACCCTGACCAGTTTATCAGCCGTCGCCGCGCCCTGTCCCTGGCGGTCTAGCCAACCGCTGCGGCCAGGCACCGTCGCGATCGGTGACCAGGCGCCTGCCGGTACGCCGGCTGGCCTGGGGCATTCCCCGGGCGCGCCTGTCCTTCGCATTCAATGGGCGGCCTACGCGAGAGAGGCGTGCCGCTCTTTGGGCGAGGGAGGGGAAGTCTCCGGCCCAAGTCTCGCTACCCCCTCGCGGGCGCTGTGCGGGGCTGGCCGGCGCTCCCGGGACATCCCGGGGGGATCTCCGAAGTTTGTAGCTAGGCTCACTCGTGCCGAGGTCCCCCCCCTCCTGCTTAGGGCCCTGGGGGCCTCCTGGGAAGAACCAGGCCCGCAAGGGCTGGGGCTCGGCCGGCTCCGAGCTCAGACCAGGCCGGCGGGGTGTCTGGGGGCGGTGAGAATCCCTGCGAGATTCTCGTGCCCGCATGGGGCCCCACAAGGTCTAGGGACTAGCTGTCAGGGCCCCCCTCTGCCGGGGTCAGGCGGATCCGCCCCCCCTGGTGGGTGCGAGGAGGAAAAGGACAAGGAAAAAAGGAGGAGGAGGAGGAGGAGAACGAGGACGAGGAGGAAGAGGAGGAAGAGGAGGAGGAGGAGGAGGAGGAGGAGGAGGAGGAGGAGGAGGGGGAGGAAAAAGAGAAAGAGGAGGAGGAGGAGGAGGAGCAGCAGGGAGGAGGAGGAGCAGGGAAAAGGAGGAGCGAGAGGCGGCCCCCTCGGCCTGGCCAGCCCCGCGGCACGCGCGTCTGCCGCCCGGCTCCTGCAGCGGGGGCCCAGGCTGAGGAGCACCCTGGCAGCCCGGTGGGCGCCCATGCCAGGAAACTCCGGCATCGAAGGAGGACCACAAGGCGGCACTCCTCCTCCTCCTCCTCCTCCTCTCCTCCTCTCCCTTCCTCCTCCTCCTCCTCCTCCTCCTCCTCGTCCAAGGGCAGAACGCAGTCGAGGAATAACGGCAGGATGTGCAGCAAGAGCGGCATGAAGAACAGCAGCGGCAACAGTTCGTCGCACCCACTGCGCAGACCCACCGCTTGCCCGCATTGAAGCAGGACAGAAATGGCACAGACATAAAATTATGGCGCTTGGCGCGGATTTCTTGAATCTGCGTTGGGGCTCCCTCGGCGTCGCCTGCGGCGCCGCCCCTGGCGCGCTCTGCGCGCCAGGGAGGGGGGTCCAGCGCAGATCCAAGAAATCCGCGCACAACGCCAACAGTTTGTGGTTATGCCGTTTTTTGTGTTTCTTCTAACCTTGCTTGCCTCCAGGGCGCCCTGGGATCATTTGGGTGTCGATGGTTTTGCGATGGAAAACTCACGTTTCCACACCATATGCCAATGGACGCCCTGGGGTCTCAGGGTTGAGTTTCTTGTGGATGGTTTCTTATGGTTGAGCTCATACTGTGCACTGTGGCCGCCACCGCAAAGGCAGTAGTGCTGCCAGCCTGGCGGCACAGTGGAGGCCACCGTGTCGCGAGGGGACGGGGGTGGCCGCCCTGAGCAAGTGCTCGTGATAGCTAGCCGAATCGGCGTCATCCCAACATACTAACAGTCTGTGCTCGTCGCCCCCCGCCCCAGGGGCGACGCTCGCACAGAGAAATCTTCTAGTAGATGCATCGTGGCGGGCGCTGCCTTGCCGCACCGCTTGGGACACGATCCAGGGTATACTATATATATATATATATATGTGTGCGTGTGTGTGTGT